GAACTGCCCTATGGGTGGTTATGTTTAAGCCTACTCATAATTCATAATATTAGAAATGAAAATATTAAAAGATCAATAATAAAAGTAAAAGTAGACTTTTCATATGGACGCACCAAATCCTAAATTTGACCATTGGAATACTAACCCTACTCACTTTATATTATTGCTGCTTAGTTTAATGTGTCCAAATGAAAAATTACGTGTAGTAGAAGCAGCTTATTTTTTCATTTCTTCTGCCTTCATTTAAACTGAGATGTCATTTTGGAAGAAAATAGAGCCAAATTTTACTTACTTATTTATAATATTGGGGCTGATATTAACTGACTATCTGTTTGAATACCTAGTAAGTACAGGAAATCTCTAGGTACCAAGGAAGAGAGAGAATAAATAGATCTAGTTAAAGGGTTATGATACGTTCATATGAAAAAAGTTTTTGCTCTCGGGTTGTGTAGAGTGATAATAAATGGTATTGACCTCAAGTGCAGTCAAAATTTAGGCAGTGGCAGAGATTATTTTGAGTCCAGGTGATTAGGGATGTCTTTACAGAGGAGGTTGGCAGGAATGTGGTATAGAAGGATTGGTAAAATTTAAATACGTGGAGACAAATGATAGTGGAGTCTGTGTGCATGTGTGAGAGGGGGAGTAGTTATTGGTAAAAACTGAGCTTCAGCAGTTCAGATGCCTCACTAAATAGACTAGAATTAGGGGCAAGAGTTTCCTGGCACTACTGTTACACAGTAGTGCCTGCAGAGTTAGGCTGGTGCTAGTTATTGGAGCTCTGGTGGTTAAGACATTTGGCTGTTAACCGTAAGGTTGGTACTTTGAACCTGCTAGGAACAGCTGCTCTGTAGGAGCTCTGGTAGCATCGTGCCTGAGGCACTTGACTGCTAACCAGAAGGCTGGCGGGTCAAACCCACCAGCCACTCCTCAGAAGGAAGGTTGGGCAATCTACTTCCATAGTGATACTACCTTGGTAACCCAAGGAGGGGTTATTATGAGTTGAGTCTGACTCGATGGCACATAACAACAAGGGAGGCTGCTCTATGGAGAGAGATGAAGCAGTCTGCTTCCAAAATATTGACAGCCTTGGAAACCCCAATGGAGGTCACTGTGAGTTGGGATCAACTCAATGGCAGTGAGTTTGGTTTTTTGACTTTATGAAAGGACTTGAATACTAAGAAATTGGAACTTCTGTTCTTAGAAGAGAGGAGTTGGTTGTTGGTTCTGGAAGCAGGGAATGACTGTTGCTTAAAGAAGCATGTTACTAACCATAGCGTTAGTCCTATGCCAGGGGTATGAAGGAGCAGTAAAAAATGTAAAGAATTAGTTGAGAACTGACAGGACTTGGTGATTACAGATATGGATATATGAGCACAGAAAAAAGGCACATTGATGGTGATTGATAGATATCTTTATCTTTATCCAGTGCAGGTTGCTGATGGGTTTTGTGTTAAACATGTTCATTTTCAAGTCATAGTGGACTGCTGACTGGGATTGTCTGGCAAGAACTTAGATCATGGGTACTGGAGCTTGGGAGATAGATTTGGGAGTGGTTTCTGTAAAGGTGGATGATGCCAGAGAAGAGCAGATGGTTTAGGATTCTTCCTATTTAGTGAGCAAGGGAAAAAAAAAAAGTTAAACCCATTGCAGATGAGTTGATTCTGACTCATAGTAACCCTTTAGGACAGAGTAGAACTGCCCCTCAAGGCTCTAACTCTTTGCGGAAGCAGACTGCTGCATCTTTCTCCTGCGGAGTGGCTAGTGAGTTCTAACTGCTGACCTTTTGATTGACACCTGAGTGCTTGTGACCACTGCATCATCAGGACTCCCTATTTAGTGAGCAGGTGAGGAAAAGCCAAGAAAGAAACAGCAGCAGGAGCATTCAGAGAGGTAAAAGCAAGGCCTCTGGTGGTTTTTGCTCTGTTACTGAGGCTGGTGGGGGAGGGTCTCTGCAAGGAGGATATGGACATACATGTCAGTGAAAAAGAAAACCGTGGAATAATTTCTTAAATAATTGCTGCCTGAGTGGTCATCACTTTTGTGGGAATGATGAGTGGGCCTTGAATCCAGATTACAGTTGGTTAAAGGGTAAGTGTGTGTGTGTGAGGGGGTTGTTGAGAAGTTGAGGCAGCAGATTTAAATTAGTTGTTAGAGAAGTTTAGCTATATGAAGACAGAGAGAGAGAGATGGCAGTAGCTGAAGAAGGCCAAAAAAAGGTACTTTAATTAAATTTAACAAACATTTATCAAGCACCAGTTATGTCTAAGACGTTGTGTTAGGAACTATGGAAGGCACAAAAAGTGATTTAAAAACTTTTACCCCTGAAAAAATGCTACCTCAAGTTCTTTTGATGTTAGATAGGCAATTCATCTTGAACAACATGTTAGAGATACTGGTATTACAATCGCTGGGACAAAATCATGGCAGAGAGAACAAGAAGATGGGACGAGTTGGAGGCTTGAAGGAGCTATGAAAAGGATCACAGCTAACCAGAAGGTTGGTGGTTCAAACCCAGCAGCCACTCCATGGAAGGAAGACCAGGCAATCTACTTCTGTAAAGATTTACTGCTTTGGAAACCCAAACGGGGTTGCTGTGAGTTGGAATCGACTCTGTGGCAGTGAATTTTTTTTTTTTTTAATTTGCTTTATGAAAAGGAGAAGGGAGGAAATGTGATGTGGCATTTGCAGGTGGAGAAGGAAACGGACCCTTCTTCCTTAAGATGGGAGTAAAGGGAGGAAAGGATGAGTTAGGTTTTGAGCTATTTTGAGGTAGAATTGGGCAAAGTGAAGATCCCAAGAAGTCTTCACTGTGTATGTCCTGCATGACAAAGAGACTGGGATCCTATTTCCTGCCTCTGAAAAGTCCCTGGTGGAATGGCAAAATGAGACTATAGTGCTTTTTTTTTTTTGGTCTTGTGAGAGAAAAAGAATAAAAGTGAACACCTGTACCACAGAAGGTATTAATTTTGGGTGAAGTTTTTTTTGTTTGTTTGTTTTTTAATATCTAAAGAAGTTTTTTTTAAAATGAATCTACCAGATATCGTGAATGTTTCAGTGCCTGCAGTTTGCTAGGGTTTGGGTCAGATGCAGTGTCTCACAGAGCTTGGAGTCTAGGAAAGAAGATAAGAGAAATACATGCCTGCTCTTAATAAATGCTTGCCAATTGAACTCTGATCTGAGATAGAAAAAGGTTATGTGCCTGACTGGCACGCAAGAAATACTAGGGAGGTTGAGAGGAGAAAGAGCATGGGGGCAGTTTTCTAGCTATTTCAGTTGAACAAGGTTTCGAAATAAATGTGTCATGTATTTACCTCAAGTCTCTGTTTTGTATTCTTAATAGATGTTACTTTCTATACATTAGAAAATATAATTGTGTGCTCCTAGTTTCTGGTCCTAACTAAGTAACAGTGTAGAAAGAATTATGGTCATGGTGTTGGCTGCTCCAATGAAGAAATACATTCTTTTGAACTACCCAGTTAAGTAAAGCTTTGGCAGGATTTTGAGAGTAGCCAGTTGCTAGTTGGAGTATCTGGATCACTGCCCTGATTTTCAGTTTTATGTATGTAAACTTGCCTTAAAAGTGTTAGCCTTTATTTTATTGAGTGCATTTTAAGTGCATGCAGCCATAAAATAGGTGCAGGTCAGTAGGAGAGAAGAACTAATTAATGCTGTACTTTGACTTTTACAGTCAGACTCAGGAAGAAGGGGGAGAGGAAGAAAAAATCAAGGCAATTTGGAGAGAAGAAAAAAAAATTTTTTTTCAAGTATTAAAAAAAAATTCAGGGTCCTTTTTACAAAAATAATTTCCATTTCTTTTTAGCTGATTTGTGAAATCTGTTTGATGAGAAAATTATAAGATCTATTTGCCTATCATAGCTTAGGCCTGACCTAGGCCTAAATAATCACTATAGAAGTTAGACTGAGAATTACTCAACACTTGTTCTCATAGGATATTGTTAAACAAAGTTTTGAGTTGGAGGGATTGATTCCTGTTGAGGGATATATTTAACTTAACATCCCCAGCACCTCCTCCCCCCCACCCCCATTCCCACTCAGAAGTAGCAACAAGGCCTGCCCACAGACGTTCCTAAGCAGAGCTTGATGCTGTCTGTGCTGAGGTCAAGCACTCCCATTCCAGCCTCTTGAGAGCTTTCTCTATGTGTTGCCAGTGTGCTGGTAAAAATGACTTTAAACTCTTGTCAGCGCAGTTACTGGTGCATGCATCACAGTCCCACTCAAATAAACCTGTCACAACACAGAATCGGCCGCTAGAGAAGGAGTACAAGGGCAGGCCTCTAGCTTTTCATTCGAGCATCACTAAACGTGCACAGAGTGCCCAATTATTTCAGCATTATTGAGCAAGCCTACAGGAGGACCCAAGCCTTGCTACATTAGATTTTCTTTAGTAATTTGCTCAAGTACCGCTGAGGACACTTAAAGGGCTTAAAACGGTGGCTGCAACCAGTTTCCTTTTCTGGGTTGTTAATTCAGGTTTTCTCTTTCAAATTAACTCTCGCTGCATGCTGTGCAGCGGGTTCTGGGAGAACTGTTTAACGCTAATTTTCTCAATTTTCAGCTTTTTTTGTTCAACATAACTGCTTTAACAGTTATTCACGTATATGTTTTGATTAGAAATATGTGATAGTGAGGCCTTATTTTTTGAGGTCAGAATATAGATGCACGCTTTGTGAAAGAAATGTTTGAATGTCAGTTATTAAAATTATTTAGATAATCTCACTATTTAAAAATGAAGTTATTCACTCTGTATGCAAAACTCGCAAATCTAAGTAACAAAGAACATTTATTTACTGGACAACTCCCTCCTTCCATTTTTAAAAATACTACATATATTAGGGATAAGTCTTTCTTTGTGAGGCTAGATTTTTTTCGTTAGCTCTTTGCACTTCTTCCCCCCCCCCCGTGTGTGTGTGTGTGTGTGTGTGTGTGGAGTGTGGATATAGGGGACAAATTCAATATCTGTGTCTCATTTTTCACAGCAGCAACAACTCCAGGCCCAGCATTTATCACATGGACACGGTCTGCCAGTGCCTCTGACTCCACATCCTTCGGGGCTTCAGCCACCTGCCATTCCACCCATCGGTAGCAGTGCTGGGCTTCTGGCCCTCTCCAGTGCCCTGGGAGGGCAGTCTCACCTTCCAATTAAAGATGAGAAGAAACACCATGACAATGATCACCAAAGAGGTGAGAGATTCTCTTGGGATGTCAGCCTTCTGTTACCTACCTGCTGCTGAGGGTAGGTTCTAGATACCATGATTTATTCTGTCTCTGAATTAATTTTACCAGTGACTAAACAAACGATTTCTGCTGGAAGGTAAATTAATTATTGGAAGCAGTCATTTGCCAAATGATACCCTAGTGGCTGGCAAGAGTTAATGTACTCCCCAAAGGCAAGGAGGCCTGTCCCTGATTGCCTTTGACCCCTTGCTGCCTCCTGTGTTCCCCATCAGCAATAAAGTCCTGTAGTGAGTTACATTAATAGCTACTTTTGACTCAATCTATTTTGAGGAAAGACTTGTTGATATAAGTTCACTTGATGTTTAATAGAGTCAGTATTTATAAATCAGGTCAGCCTATACAGTGCAGTAAAAATCTCTTAAGAAAACATTTCAGTGGTCTTGGTAATCAGGATGGTGCAGCCCAAATTAATGAAGTACATTGGCTTTAACTACTTTTCTCATCTTGTCTGTTAAGAAGTGTGAAATAACTCATTGCTTCCTATAAGAAAACACAATTGTTTATGCAAATAATTGATTTGAAAGCCAGTTGTGTGCTTTCTAAGTTGCTTTCCTCCCTGCTCTAAAGTAGATGAGAGCGTAGAGACATTTTGAAGTGACTGTGTTTTTATGTAGGAGCTCTAGTGACGTAGTGCCTAAGGCATTTGACTGCTAACCAGAAGGCTGGGGTGTTTGTATAAGGAGCTCTGGTGGGGAATGGTTAAAGCGTTTGGCCACTACCAAAAAGTCAGTAGTTTGAACCCATCAGCCATTCCATGGAGGGAAGATGAGTTGGTCTGCTTCTGTAAAGAGTTAAAGCCTTGGAAACACAGTGAGGGTCACTATGAGTCAGAATCGACTCAATGGCAGTGAGTTGATTGGTTGGTGGGTTTATATGGTGCTTACTAGTCATGTTTATTAGTTAATGGCAGAAAAGCAAATGAAAGTCTTTCCCAGCATTCTGTTGTGGGAATTTACTTAGCATTTGGGTGGTTTCATTGGTTTGAAGGGTGTGGTTCATAATTAAAAGCTCATAGCAACTCCTGTTTCAGTGTCATTACCATGAATTACAATTTCAGGTAAATGATTTTTATCACATAAGCATATATTTCCCATCTCTGATGTTGGAAGTGCTATAACATTTGTCATCCAGTTATCTTAATGCTATGATACAGAGCTAAGACATGATTATAAATAATTTGATAAGTGGAAAAGTTGATAAGGAGTATAAATAATATGAATATCCATGCTTTGTTCTTGTTGTTGTTATTTGCTGTCGCGTAGGCATTCTGAAATTGTGTTAAAGGTAGACTGGTGCTTTGTGAATCTGATTGAGTAGTTTTAATAATTAACTTTACAGCAAAGTTAACATCTGTACAATTCATTATTTAGAAGAGATCAAATCTGATAAATGTATGATTGGTATAAACTAACACTTTTCTTTTTTCCTCTTTCCCACCACTTAATCTGCTCGTGTTGCTGCTGTTTTGCCTATAGACAGAGACTCCATCAAGGTAGGACTCTAATTCACAGATGAAGGGATGGCTTAAACGGGGCTCTAAGTGGTTTGAATAAATCTAATATTGGATTCTTTGAGGTTTAGAGAATTATTTGCTGGGCTTTCACAAATAATGGTTAACTGCATTTTGAGATTACTCTGAGGTGTGTGGTTGAGATTTTTGGAAAATGGTCATATTTCTCTATCAGGATCAGATTTGTAGACCAAGATTGAATCATAAGATCTGTCTTATATTTGCTCGTTTTATTATGTCTTGCCATATGGAAAAAAATAACTTTTTCATTGGTTAGGCTTTGACTATAAGATAAACAGTAAAGGAAGGAAGTGGATAAATTGGTTTATATGGAAGTACATACTAGTCTCATATTTTAGGCAACAGTTCTATCCTACAAAACTCTTTATCAAAACATTGTGTCTAAGAGCATTCTTCTTTATGAAAATAATTTTTTTTTTTTTAATAACATCTTGGTTTCTAGTATAGTGGATCATCCTTCTTAGGTTTTGAGTCTGTCTTATCTCTTTATAGACAAGTTGCAGGGAATGAAGAAGAGTATTTAGGAGCTAATAACTTGGATAAAGCTTGTGTTAAACACCAGAATGTGGTGTGCTAAGGATCACCTCAATTTATTTGGTAAGCAGACAAGAAAAGCAGGTTACCAGGACAAAAAGTAAAATATGAAAATTGCTTGAATCACGTTTGAGCCAGGCACAGTGCCCATATCAATGCCATATGCCATTGTCTTCAGTATAGATTAGAAGGAAAAAATAGTGGCTGATGGACAGATGTGGGGAATTCTCTTCCTTATATTTTATAACAGTTGAATGTTTTGGAAAGTAGGTAGTTATCGCTCTATATATCTCTTACAATTTTTAATAAAGCTGTGTATATGAAAACTACAGTTTTCTGAAACCTCTGCTGTTTCTTTCAATGCCTTTTTACTGTGTCGGTATACAATAAAAGGTTGTAAGAGTTCCCTCCTAAAAAAGAAAAACAAAACAACCCTTAAAAAACAAAAACTGAGTGCATCTGGTTCTGCCCTCCAAGAATCTTTGTAATTTGAAAGGGCATCTGCATAACCATATATGTGTCAACATTTATAGTTGGAACCACATACATTGAATTATTTAATTGTACAATGACAGTTGTGTATTTTTGTTATATAATATGCATATTGATACTTAGATTAATTGTTTCACACCTGACTATTAGGAAGTACCTGCAGTCCCTGGGTCACTTCTGACTTAAGGACAAAGCCTAATTGCCCTTTAATGTTATGTAAATTTGCCCTCATTTTGAAATGGAGTGAACCAACCCTTACTTGCAACAAATTCTTCATCACAGTCACCATCACTTGCTTCACAGTGCAGCTTTTAAATCATTGAAAAGGCTTAGAGCATTTTGCACCAAAACCATACTGCCCTCAAGTTGATTCTGAGTCAGTGATTCTATAAACAGAGCAGGACTGCCGCACAGTCTGTAAATCTTTACTGAAGCAGACTGCCTCGTCTTTCTCCCACTGACCACCAACCTTTTGGTTAGCAGCTCAGTGCTTTAACCACAGTACCACCAGAGCTCAGAATGGTGTGTCGGGTACTGACTGACCTCCACATTCTTACACACTTAGGAATGGATTTCACTGGCATTCCAGGGCCTGCCTGTTGTTGTTCCTAGGTGCCCTCAAGTCAGGCCCCACCTCCTTGGGTGACTCATAATGACCCCTCCTTGGGTTTCCAGACAGTATCACTACAGGGAAGTAGATTGCCCAACATTCCTTCCGAGGAATGGCTAGTGGGTTTGAACCGCTTGCTTTCTGGTTAGCAGTCAAGTGCTTTAGGCACTGCTACCAGAGCTCCTAGGACCTGCCTGTTGTTGTTGTTATGTGCCGTCGAGTCAAACCCGACTCATAGCGACCCCTCCTTGGGTTTCCGAGGCAGTATCACTACGCAAGTAGGATTGCCCAACCTTCCTTCCGAGGAGTGGCTGGTGGGTTTGAACTGCCAGCCATGTGGTTAGCAGGCAAGTGTCTTAGCCACTATGCTACCAGAGCTCCCAGGACCTGCCTGTAGTAAGTAAATAAAATGACCAGGATTAGCTGATTACAGCCCTTAGAAAGCCTGACTAGTTATTCTGAAGCCATAGTATAAACATTCCCTGCTTTCTTATGATAAATACATACCTCTAGGCAGGTTTGTAAACTAAACAAAAGCCTCCTCTCATGCCCCACTCCCAGAAGGCTGTGAAAATATTTACACTCCAGTGCACCCTTTTGTGTCAATTACATTTTATATTTCCTCACACAAGAGTAGAGTATATTTTGAAATCATCTGTGATCGTTCTGAGAGAGTCAAGGAGTGAGTGTCTGTATAGCTAGAAGCCATGGGGACAGACAAAAGGAAATAGAGGTGTATGATTTTTGCTTTGATTTATTATGGACTGGTGGTTATAAATAGATGTTTAATTTGGGTACAGTTCTTGGGTTTGAAGTTCCCTTGTGTCAGATTCGGGCTAGCCTACACTTTGCAAGGTGAGGTAGTTTGCTAATTTTCCTCAGAGTTGTCAGTGGTGCTCAGAGAAGCAGTTAGTTGCTTGTCTCATCGATCGCCCTCATCGTCCCATAAGTAGTTCCTGGTTAAGAGGGGCTTTTTATGGTTGTCTGCTGTACGACTCAGGATGGTTTCTATCAGCCGGAGTGTGCCAGTTGCCTGCAGCTGGAGTCAGGCTTGTATGAAATAATTTATTCATGCAGGATAATGCTCCTTAACATTTAACAGGTAATGAACGTGACATAAATTTCCTTCTTGCTTTTAATTTTTCCCTTTCCTCTTTAAATGTGCAAACAGGCAGCTCTGGTACTCTAAATAATAAGTAATTTTTGGCCATCTGTCAAAAGGAAATTTCAATACAAATTTAAATTAATGGTGCCTGAAATTTTTTATAGCTCCTCTAAAAGCCTCTAATGTGCAGAAAATTCTGAATCTGCTGGTAGTAATTAGTGTTGCATGTAATGAGGATGTGGGCAATGTTATACAGCCCCAGTGTAACATTTTGATAGGGAAGCAAAATTTTGATTTATACAAGGTTGTAGATGGGTTTAATTGTGAGAGACACTTTAAAATGTTTTCTTGATGCTACAGATTATTAAACAGGGCAGATTTCAGAATAGCTCATAAAATATAAATTTAAAAACTTACTGTAAAGATTTAGGTAATTAAGGTGCTTTACCTTTAGGTATCAAGTAAAATGAAAGAAGTTCCCTTGTTAAACTGTCAGGCTCCTTTGTCTTCCTTTTCTTCTTCTTCTTGGAAGTTCTGCAGCCACTAAGCCACATGCTTTTAGAGTCAAGTTAGCCTGTTGGCTTTATTGATCGTATTTTCTATAGTTCCAGTAGCCAAGTTCACTCCTGAACTTAGTATTTGCAGACCTGTATCTGAAGTTTTTCAGCAAGAGTGGAGAATGTAAATATGGCTCCAAAGCCGAGAGTCCTGTAGGAGCCCAAGAATCAGTTTATTTGGTGATGAGAGACTAGAATGTGTGTTGTAGGACTTGTTGAAGTGAAGAGCCAGGGCACCTGCAGCCATCCTTACTTCTCAGTTGACTATCCTGTGTCTCCATGTGTAAGATTTGGGGGATGACAAAAGCGAAAGAAAAGACCATGATCCACCTTCACTCTTAGTGGTAGCATAGAAAGTCCAAGGTTAGTTCTCCAAAAGACCCCCAAGACCTGGTTCCTACTTTCATTTCCATCTTCTGGAATGTTGAGAACTGTTTCTCTCATTCATTTGTTTCTTGAAAAGACATAACCAGGGAAACATCTTCAGAGGGGAAGGACCTGCCCGCTGCTTGTCCTCCCACTGAAGGCTGATGGGTAAAAGTTGATGTTCTCCAAAGTGGTGGCCCGAGAGGACATGCCATGTGCTGCCATGAGCTTTCCTGTTGCTTGAGGTAACGATTCTGAAGAGGAGTCAGCTGCTTCAAGTCATTAGATTCCTCACATCTCTCTCCAGTTTTTTCAGCTGTGTGAATAAAATGAGGGTAATGATTCAGAGCTGTTAAGGCCAAATTGCCTAAAATTTGATGTAGGGATCAGAGATTGAGGAGTTAGTCTTATTGCCTGCAAGTGTCTACACATTTCTAATACCATCTGGTAAAAAAAAAAAAAAAAAGGCACCAAAACCAGCTTAAATATAATGGAATTCACTATCACCAAATATTTAATTAGTTCCATGACCTCTTCCGAGTTGATGTCATTGTGCACACATTTATTATTGCTTTGTCGTCTTTTTTATACTGCATCTACATGGTCTTCTGTTTTTTTATCCTCAGGTTCATCCAGTAACCTCCTCAAGTCAGGCATGTGAGGGATTTACTGTTTATAACTATAAAATAAAGCATGAGTACAAATATTTTTTTTTTCTCTAAGTGATGTTATTTTTATTTTTATTATTTCATTGGAATTTCTTCCCCAAAGTGCTGTATGCCTGCATCATCAAAGAGTAGGATCCCTTTTAGTGACTTAGGCCTTGACAAATTGATCTCTAGAAACACTACGTCAATTTAAAATGCCAAACACAGTGCTTATGTATGTTTCCACACACTCTGTCAATATTGAACTTTATCATTTTTACTAGTATAATGAGTGTGGATGATGCACTTTATTTTTCTATTTACATATTATTTTTCAAGCTAAATGCTTTCTGATGTGTGTATATAATATGTGTTTTTTTTTAAATGAAAATTATTTCTGTTTGGGGTTTTCATAATGATTGATTTCTTAGTTATGTTTAAGACTATGCCTGTTCATTCTGCACCATCAATATTTTAGTGTTTATTCTATGTAGAGGATTAAAACATCATATATTGTTTTTCTTCTTGACTGTGCTGATTATTCTGTGTTGGTTATATTGCAACCTATATTGGTTTGTCAAAGGAGGATTAGGGTAAGGCTATTTTTTGTTCAGATTGAAGTGTATGATTCAGGACAAAAAGCACTTTCT